GGAGTAAGCATGGCGGAGTCCGAGGTATTGAAGCTCTGGCTGCCTAAGGTCTTCATGTTGGAGGAGCTCCCATGAAGGCCCAGGCCAGAACTGCTGGACAGGTCTCTCCGCTCCTCATGGGAGCTTTTTAGCTCTCTGTCAGATGGGGACTTGGGGGTTGGCAGAGAGGGCTGGTCACCATCTGACTTTGGCAGGCCCAGTCTCTTAGGAACAGGTGGAGGTTTTAGAAGATGGAGTCCATCACCCTGAGGGGACTTCTCAACTGAATAGGATTTTAGGGACAATGACTTAAAGACAGGTGAGGGGAAGCTATGCTCGGGCCCCTTGCTCCGATCGACTGGTGTGAGCCCGAGGCTGCGGCGAATTTCGGCGCTCTTCATCCAGAACTCTGCCACCAGGTCGTTTGGCTTCAGGGCCTCATCTATAGCAAGAGGGCTGCCCAGTCTGTCCTTGGCATCCCCTTGGTTCTTCATGTGGAGAGAGGTCAGGGGGGTGGATGTTTTGGCTGGAACAGGCTGGAAGCATATGGGGGACTTGGTGGGGGATGGGACAGTGGCCTCACAGGAAGGCTGAGGCTGGGAGCAAATGGGGAACTGGGTGGGGGTGGAGGTGGAGGTGGCCAATGGCAACAGGCCCTGTGAACCAACTGGGGAGGTAGGTGTTGTGGTTTCCGGCAGAGTTGCTGGCTGGGACTGTATGGGAGAGTGTACAGCTTTCTGATCAGTGGGAACTTCTGCTTTAGGCTTTGCTTTGGAAACCAAAAGCTCTGGGAAAAGGTGCTCCTCAGGCGATTTCACCTTGGTAACCTCAGAGGGGAGTGGGATCTGGGCAACCTACAGAAGATGAAGATAGATGGAAGCTGCTTAGAGGGCAGGGACTTAATGATCAGCAAAGATCTCTTGGGAAGCTTTCTCTCTCAAAGGGCCTGTACTTGCTGAATAAATTCCTCTCTCCATCCTTTAAGCTATTATTCAAACAGCTCCAGGAGAATCTTTCTCACTTTCTGTAATTTTTAGAACCACTGTACTTAGTTGAACAGACTGTTTTCAAGGTTTGGTCCACCTCAAATACATCTTATATTCTAAGTGCACTGAAGTGAATGCTGGTCAGAGGACACTAATGAATTCAGCTCTCACTCCCCAAGAGCTCCAAGATCTCTGATGTATGAACATAGTGGCCAACATGGTAAGATTAAAAAGAACTATTTTTTACAGTCTGTATTATACACTATCTTCCCCAGGAAGCTCAAAGATCCAGATATGAATCATTATACCCCACCCTCCCATCACGTCTCAGTAAAGCTCCTCCATCTCACATGTGAAACTACCAAATTCATCTCGCTTCTTAGAATCCCAAAGACCAGATCAAGCAGACCCAGTCTTGAGTTTGGAATTCCTTCCCTGATGTTTCCTCCAGAAAGTATTTTCCAAAACATGTTCCATGGGATATATTGTTACAATACGTTTACATAGTATTCTCCAGTGTGTGGTTCACATACCACTGGTAATCTGGATAAATCTTTTTTATTTTATTTTTTATCCTCACCTGAGGATATTTTTTCCACTGGTTTTTTCAGAGAGTGGAAGGGGGAGAGAGAGAGAGGGAGAAACACCGATGTGAGAGAGACACATCGGTTGGTTATCTTCCACATGTGCCCCAACAGGGGACGGGGACTGAGCCTGAGCCTGCAACCAAGGTACGTTCCCTTGGAAGGAATTGAACCCAGGACGCTTCAGTCCATGGGCTGATGTTCTAACCACTGAGCCAAACTGGCTAGGGCAATATTTTTAATTTTAAAATTCACAGTTCATTTTAACATAATATTAAGAAAAAAAAAAAAGCATTGGTCATATTGAACCAATGATTCCACAAATATTACTGCTTTAACTTAAAAATAAACTTATTTTTGGCCTGGCAGGGCATGGTTCAGTGGTTGAGCATCGGCCTGGGATCCAGGCAATTGGGGTTCGATTCCCGGTCAGGGCATATGCCTGGGTTGTAGGCTTGATCAATGCCTCTCTCATCATTGATATTTCTGTCTCTGTCTCTCTCCCTCTCCTTTCCTCTCTCTGAAATCAATAAAGATATATTAAAAAAAAAAATAAATAAAATAAACTTATTTTTGAAATGGTGTGGTATGTGGACAAGACAGAGTGACACAGTGGTGGGATGACCCAGGTTTGGAGTTGGTGCAGAGCAAGGTGAGGGAGATGCTGCCTTGTGCCCACAGGTGAGAACTGAGCTGTAACGCCATGGTCATTCCTGTTTTCAACAGCTCTACTTAGCACAAGAAGAAGAAGAAGAAGAAGAAGAAGAAGAAGAAGAGGAGGAGGAGGAGGAGGAGGAGGGGGAGGAGGAGAAGAAGAAAAGGGCTCACACCAAGAGAAATCAATATGTCCATTCAGGGTAGCATCAGCTCTGTTCCCTCCAGTGAGCCCCAACTCTTACCTCTGCGATGGGGCTGTGGATAGGGGAGAACAGAAAAGCTTGCTCCGAAGGGGGCTGGGAAGGACTGGAGACTTGGGAGGGACCTGAAAAGAAGAGACAGAGGATTGACAAGGGAAAAAAACCCATTCCCACTGAGGATGTCTCTTCCAGCCAGCTCTGCAGTGGGGCTGAACCACTGGTCAGTTACTTGCAGAGACGAAAGAAAAGGGAATGTGCTTCCCCAGGGCACCCTGTATGCAACCTCTGCTTGTGTCAGAATTGCAGGCTTTTTGTCATGTGTATGGTCTGAGCCTAAAGATTTGAGTTGTCCCTTCTACCTTTTCATAGCCCCAAATAACATACAGAAAGGGGCTATTGGTAAAGCCATGTGCAGGGCCCGTGTACAAGGGAAGGAGGCCATTATCTGAGGCTAGTGTGATACGTGCCCACTCTGCTTCATGACCTGTGCCCTTGGTGCCACTAGTCCTCACGTGGCTCTCAGTAGGAATTCTGGGAATGGCTTCTCCTGTGACAGCAGACTGACCTCTCTTGTTATCTTGTAGAGTGACAGGGGGTTGCTCCTCCAAGTTTTCTGAGACCTTCAGCTCCAGCTCTGCTTCTACCACCTCCAGGTGCTGCCTGTGAAACTCTGTTTCGGCATCCGATGGAATGTTGTCAGACCAGTGCTGATCTGGCAAAGGGAAAGGAGAACACAACTTGAGTGAGGACTGCTCCTTTCCAGTCTCCTGCCTTCCTTGGAGAATAGCATGACCACTGTAGTCCGGACCCGGATCTGCTCCCCCGCTGAGCCCTGACTGCTGGTCCTCACCCAGCTTCTGACACTCTGCCAAAAGCACATCCTCTACAACACGATGCTCTTTTCAAAGCCCGTGGTGCTCCACTTTCTTCTGAAATACAGCCAGATGACAGGTGACAGGCCATGACAGAAAGCATGCTTATAGAGGGCAGGCCTTGCTTGCTGGGCCCACCACCCACCTACATTTCTCTCCCATTAGCGCTTCTCAGCCCTGCCACCCCACCATCATAGCTGAGGCCGTGCTCCCTCACTATCTTGCCTGGACTGCTCCTCTCATTTCTCCCAGCCTAGCCCTTTGCCCCTTATCTCCCAACTAACCAGACTATAATTCTTAAAATACCATCTCCTTATATCTAGCTTTCAGAGGGCATCTACTGGATTAAAGGCCCTGTATAAAGCCCCAAATCTGCTCAGTTTCTCGGCCACAACTTAATGAATGCAGGCACTATCCAATGTTGGCTTATGGGAGAGTGAAATAACATGCACTCAAGTTAGTGGCTGAACAAGGAACGAACCAGGAGCTGCCTTCCCCAAACTCCCTGCTTTTGTTTAATGTATTGTTTTTATCTTTCCTGAGTTCAGAGCACTTTGGCCTATCCCGCAGTGGGGAACAGGGTGGTCACCATGGTGGAGAGGGGAGGCTCTGGGGTCCCCCATACCATCATCCAGCTCAGCACCAGTGTCACCTGTGTCCCCATTCTCTGCTGCCTCCCCTTCTATCTCTGCTGGCTCCGAGTCCACATCTTCCTCCAGGCCATTCTCATCAAATGGGACTGTAAAGCAGAAATAGTCAAAGGAAGAAAAGGAAAGACAGAAGGACAGGCAGTCTGCCTTTGCAGGTGGGAAAGCACCAGTGCTTCTCCCAGGGCTGTGATGTGAAGACCACCAGGAGAAAGGGGCAGGACAAGCTGTGAAGTGTCTGGATTTGGACCCCAAAGTGGAGTCACTCAGACCTGAGCCCTTCCTGAACACCTGAGACTAGCATTTCTCCACTAGCAGGGCCAAGTGGATGCGGAAGAGCAGCTTAGGGCCGGTCATCTTTCCTCTTCTTCCAGGGGATGCTGTAAGAGCCCCAATTTGAGAAGGAAAGAAGGGGAACACTGCTTCTCCAGGCCCAGGCCCAGGCCCAGCAGATACCCAGCTGCAAATTTAGCAGCAATCATGGCTTATAGGCCAGGCACTGTGTTGAGTCATTTAATACAATTAGAGAGACCATTTGTAATTCTTGTCAGTGAGAAAACAGGCCCAGACAGCTTAGGTAAATTGCCATGGCCACACTGCTCAATCTAGCAGTTGTAGTGGTATGTGTAGGTGAAGTCACTGTTGAAGGAGTGACCAACAGGACCCCCAAGGGCACCACACCCTCCTTTCAACTGGCAGAGGTTGCTGCTTTGTTTGGGACAATGCAGAGAAATACTTTCTAAAGCATAACAGGGAGGGATGAGGGGATATGTAAAGTTCATTTTCTGGACTCAGGACTAGTCCTTCAGTGCTGCAAAATGAGGCAAAGCACTAACCAACTTCATTTTTCCTGAGGAGGAACTAGCCCCTACCACACACACACACACACACACACACACACACACACACACACACAGAGCTGTTTCCAACCTCTGAACACTTAGAACTCACACTAACAATGTGAAGTAAGAAAAAGCAATTAAGAAAGCAATGAGCACTATAAAGGATGCTGTGAAACACCAGTGTCATCCAAGACTAACAGTACCCATTTGTCAGAAGTCCCAAGGGCCTCTTCTAGCGTTCAACGCACAGCCACCCTCAAATCATTCTTAAAGGTTTTCATTTAGGAAAAGGGCTTATGCTCTGGTTTGCATATACAAGAGCCTGAGGATCAAAGCCCAAGGTAAGGTGGCCAGCAGAGGAACTGGCTGTAGCACAGCTGGATAGATTTCTTACAAGGCTGTGTTGAATTCGAGAGGGCAGCCATGTAATGACTAGTCACTCTCTGCTCACAGGCCAGCCTTGTCAATCTGCACCCCACAGCTGAAGGATGTGCAGAGGAAATGGCAGGAACATAAGCGTGGCCCCTGAGGTCAGTGTACAGTGAAAATCAAGGAAGTGCCTACCTTTTGGGGGAGGAGGAAGGGAAGGGGCACTATGAAGACGCTGGCAATGTTTTATTTCTTGACTTTTTGCTTTTAATATTCTTTAAGCTTTGTACTTATCTCACCATGCTGTGTATACTAAGCTTACTAAAAATAGGGTGCTGGTTTCACATCCAGTTTTGGAGAACTATACTAAAGAAGTCTGGAATGAAATCCAGATTTTGGGGAGAGAGAGGAGCATTCCAGGACAAGTTCTAAGCTGGCAAACAGTTAACGTCATATTCCTCCTCTGAGATAGCAGCTCTGAGAGAGCAGCTCACAGAGCTGGCAGTGCCAAGATGCTTTCCCATGACAAGGACATTTGCTAGGAAAATAATGAGGGAAATGACCCAAGTATTCCCACAGCCTTAAAATCTCTGTGTAGTAACACTGCTGTTGGTCACACAAGGAAGTGTCTGTGCTCCTCACACCTGAGCTTTCTGTCTGGAGAGCAAGTTCATAGTTGTACTACACCATTGCTGACAAGGCTGGCCGATGATGCTCCTCCCCTAGAATCTTTCTCCTTTGCAGCCACCCCAACCCAGTGGGAACAGAACCTTGAACAATTGTGGAGAGGGCCCATTGTGCCAACATGTGTGCTTGAATGACTCTGAGTGCCTGGGCATGAGGTGGTAACTGCACTGTTGTTGGTAAGCAGAGAGGAGACCAAGGCCCAGGACGCCCCATCCGCACAATGCAAGGTACACTGCATTGCATCGGCCTCAGCACAGGCCTGACCCTCACACTCACGTGTTTCTCATTACAAATTTCTACTAAGAAATGTCTGCTGGAGAGTCAGATGGGTGAGAAGTCTATAGTCGATGGGAGCACCTTGAGAAGAACCATTGTCACATATATCAACACAAACAAGTGAGGAGTATCAGTATAGCACCAGATGTTGAGAGACACAGCTCAAGGGATGGAACTGGGGGTTAGATCCAGGTTAAGACGGAGTGCAGGGTGCTGGAAGCGGCCACACACTAAGGAAGCCAGAAATCGCTGCTGCACTTAGCTGCCAGCTAGGAAGTTCTGACACCTCAGCCTTGACCTACCATCCTGGAGATACAAACTAACTAGGAGAGAGTGAGCAGCAGTTCCTGTATGCAGAGCTAAGGGCTCTGGCTCAGTTCTCCCTGTTGTATGCAGGAAGGTGCCTCTAATGGTGAGCTCATGCCCATTCCTCCTGCTGCCCGTGAGGACAATGTGCTGGACTGGAAGAGGCCAGTGGTAAGATCCAATCCTGCCCACCCTAGAAGTAACCGCTGGCACAGTGGTTCTCAACCAGGGGCCCTTTCCTGAGTGGTATTTGGTATACAGAGGCGCTTTTGGTTGTCTTATGGGTGGGAGTGGGAGTGGAAGCTGCACTGACATTTAGAGGGAAGAGGCCAAACATCTTGCAATGGAAAGAACTGTCTTGCCCCAAATACCAGGAGCACCCTCGTTGAAAAATACCTCTTCAGAAAAGCTTAGGAAGGACAACTGAGATTTCTCAGCTACCTCTTGGCCTAATTCCTTAAAGAGACACCACACCTCAGTCTGAAGACCTAGCTGATGCTACACCTAGTTATGGCCAGCCTGTCTATCTGCTTTTAGATGCCCTCCTCCACTCTCCCCTTTTCACTGAGAAGTGTTCCATGAGTCCCCCTGAGTACTGACTGTCTTCTTCTCTGATACTTCAGTAGGTTTGTTGAATATTAACTTTCACGCTCAATTAATTTCTACAAACTTTAGAGCTTAGTGCTTAGTGGCCTTTACCTAACCTCAATTAAAATAAGTGTCTGTCTCTGTCCCATCTTTATGATTTCTTGACTCTGGATCTTCCCTGAAGAGTGTGGGGTGCTTGTCTTGTCCATGCAAGGATGGGTTGCCTGAGTGAGGCATGCACGTGCCCCTGCCCTGCGCCCTTGGCATGCACTAGTGGCAGGAGCAGAATTCTAGTGTTAAGTATCAGCAGAGCTGCCAAGAGACAGTTGTTATGGTGAGTGGGAAGAGAACAAACATCACCAGACTACCTCCGGACACTGTCTCCAGCCAGGCCTGAACTGCTGCACGGCGTATGGAGGGAAGGTCAGGAACTGAATTTAAAACAGACGATAAATACAAAGTTACACAGGAATAAGCATTCCCAGTGAGGAGAGTTGAGGTCATCCCTAAAGTCCAAAACAAAAGAGAAACTGAGATGATGTTACAGCCAGGGGCCTGTCCAACACTGACAAGGGTAACAGTCCAGGAAAGGAAAGAAAACATAGGTAACACAGGGAAGGGCAATCCAAGCTCAAAGCTGCAGAGCTAGCCCCATCTTGCAGGGCAATATGACGTCCCAGGTCAGCAGGGTCTCTCTCCTTCACTTTTGCAGAGCTTCTGGGTACATTTTTATTTTTTTATTTTTAAGATTTTAAAATTGATTTTTAGAGAGAGAGGAAGGGAGACGAAGAGAGAGAGAAACATCGATGAGAGTGATATATAGATCAGCTGCCTCCTGAACAACCCCTACTGGGGATCAAGCCTGCAACCCTGGCATGTGCCCTGACCAGAAATCGAACTGGATGGTGCCCAACCAACTAGGCCACACTGGCCAGGATGCTTCAGGGTACATTTATATTGCTGCAGAAATAGTTAACTGAGGTTGTTCTTGCCTATAGGTGAAGATTTGAGGCTAGGGAGAATCAAATGACCCCATTAAAGGCTGTTTCATGAATGTAGGGACCACCCCCTTGTATACTCAGAGACTTGCAGGGTATGTGGCCCCAACAGGAACTGAATGGAAACATGAAATTAAGTGAGTGAGAGACAGAGGTTGATGGTCTATATTTGGAAGATGGGTATGCCAAGGTCAGAAGATGTGAGAATGACATGGCAGCTGCCACAGCCCTCAAGTCTCCATTTTTTTCTTTTAATGCTTGCTATTCCTTAAAAGAACCCAGAATAAGGGTCTTCATCCTATTGTGGAGCACATATCATCTTGCCTACAACCTAGAGCTGGAAATTATTTAACTGCTTAGAGGCCTCCTTGATACAAATTTCTTCTTAGAACTTCATTTCCATTCAAACTTCCCCTGCCCCCATCCTGCCAATGCACATTCACATACAGACACACTCCATGAGAAAAGGACCAGAATATTTTACCAAATGGAGAAAGAATAACCAGGCCTAGTAATATGGGGGAAACAAAGCAAATTCTTGATTTTTCCAAGATCAAGTTCATTTTACTATTTTGCATCAGTGGAGAAAGAGCCCATAACCTCTTAATCCACAGAGAACTTTCCATATCCTCAGACAAAAGCCCAGGGCAGTGGTCATGATTAATACCAAGAAAATGAAATGTTCTGTCAGCTATTTTTGATCAAACCGATGGCTTTGGCCATGACAGAAAGTCCTCTGCAGCAAGGAGAGGGGGTGCAGGGACGGAAGATTCCCCTAGGGGCTTTGGGTCCTTCGATCCTGAAGCAGTTACCTCTAGAAGTGGAGGGCTCAGAGGTCAGTACCATTCGTTCCTCCTCCTCTTTCTCATGAACATGTGTCCAGTGCACGTCAGCCTGGATCTCCAAGGGATTGGCTGCATTTATGATCTGCTGTAGCCTCTGGCTCCCAGCTACTGCACCAGGTTCAAGAGGTGAAGGAGATGAGAAAGGGAGAAATGATGGGGAAGAAGAAAAGAGAAACAGTCAAGGGAAGGGGGGAATGAAACACCACAGGAAAGGAAACAGAAAGAAAAGTTACGATATTTGCCAGGATCAGTTTGAATCAGAAAAGAGCAAAAATTGAGACTATGTGGGCACATGCACACACACACACAAGCAACTTCTACTCATCCAATTTGATGTAGTCATTTCAAGTTTCACATACACTGTTAATTTCAATGAGAATCATAAATTCAACTCCAATGCAGAAAGAACTTTCCTTTCTGATGCTCTTCTCACATTAACTGTATTCGAGGGACCCAAATGCCAAGTTAGGAAAAAAGAGCAGATTACAACTGGCCCCTGAGGGTCATTGCTCCAGAGGTCATGAGTACTGAGCTGTTACCCAGCACAGCGTGAGATCCCTGAGGATACACCATTCATGCTCCTTCTGTTGGTCACACAGCATGGTGCTCACTGCCACCTGCCAAGCTTCTCTTTGAGGGTTGAGTCAAGTGATAAGAGAGAGGTGGGATGGGACAGTGCCATTCTGCCATGAACTAGCCAACAGGACAGAAATGTATCTTCTTGGTACTTTAGTTTTTATCTTCTGGAGCTAGAGAAAAAAAAAATCCTCCACCCCTTCCATAAAAAGCCTCACGCAGCATGCTGGTCTATGGTAGGGATACAGCTATGGGGAGAAGATGGAGTTAGGAGAGGCATGGCTGGGGAGGAAGCAGAGCTCCATCCTGTAAATCCCCAAAGTTTTGGGAGTTCATGAGTAGACAGTACCTCTCTGTATTTTCTGAGGTCAAAGCCCTTTGTTTTTAAATTCCATTTGGTACCCTACTGGACACAAGCCCTGGTTTCTCAGCTACATGAGGACTCACCGAGTCCCTCATTTTATTACTGCTCTCAGAGCCCAAGGGATCTGCATACGGCCCCTGCCCTGTGGGCTCCCTGTAATCAGTGTTTGGACCAGGCCATATGGTTGGGTTAAAAATAAAGAAACAGCCAGCAAAGTGAGGGAGGGGATACTATAGAGGGAGGATGGCTTTTCAGACAGCAAGAGCAGGTTCCACCTGATCTGAAGAACTCTGTCATTCCTGATTGGAGGCTGCTCTCAACAATCTAACTGTACAATCTGCTTTGGCTTCACTATAAAGACAACCTGTTAATTTACAAGCAACAGGGAATGTGATATGGGCATAAAGTGCCAATAAGATCACCAAATGTGGATGGTGGGCAGTATGCTGTTTTAAACGTGGAGCTGCAGGTCACTATAGATTCATGGACTTTTTCTAAGGCCAATTGGCCTTTATGGTGCTTGATGGGGCTGAATCACAGCAAAGTCACCAAACAGCCTGAATGTCTTAGGGAAGATAAATCAAAGAGAAAAATGTAGGTCCCTTTTTCATCTTTATGGCAACAAAGGGAAGAGAGCAAGTCTTCTCCCTGGATAATGTTCTGCTTTCTATCAATAAACGGAGCACTGGGGACTTATCTGCCAGCACTTCTTTCTTTCTCAGGGAAATGTTAAAAGGCACAGTGGAGGGAGGTTCTGGGTACCTGAACCACTTCTGAGAGCTGTGACATGAGGTTTTCTGCATTAGAGAAGAAGCCAGTGTTAACTAGATGAGGGGAACTTGCAGCAGAACATATGAGGGTCATTGATAGGGCCACATTCAACAAGGCTGCTTCTGGGATCTTCTCTGACTCCTCTTGAATCTCTTTGTCTCACATGGTATTTTGTACATGATCATCCATGAAGGCTGGGCACATAGATATGTACCAAAGCCTGTCGGTGTAGCTCTATAACACATATATTTTTATGTGGAACCTGGCCTTGGAGGCAGATTTTGGATGGTTGCCAGGGAGCCAGGGTAGAAGGCGGGCAAGAGGCAGAGTGGGTACCTTTATATGTACCCGAATCTTCTTCCTTTGACAGACGCTGGAGCCACTGGCCTTGCAATTCTCTGTCCCAGGGGCAATACTCCCCTTCTACAGAAGAGGGAGCCAGACACCCATAAGCACAGCAACAAGAATCCCATGGGGGTGGATAAGCAGGGAAGAAAGAGAAGAACAAGAGTTATCTTCAGCTGCAAGGCAATAATGTCCTGTCATTGTCCACACAGGTACTGAATTCCACTGCCTAAGACACACAGGCCAGGGGTCAAGAACAAAGGCTCAGTGTTGGCAGAATTTGTTAGTATGTGTTTCTCTAGTTAAAGCCCATCCCCTGCAGGTTTGGTCTTGATGACAGGTCCAGGTCTGGGAAATTGAGTCTGCAGGAGGGAAGGCTGGCCTAAACACTCCTGCAAAGGAAACAGGCTGTGACCCTAAACCATATCTGGGGCTACAGGCCACTGAGGATATTAATCATCAGATGGAGATAATGATGTCCGGAATGTTACAAACATTACTGTTCCCTGAAAGAGCTGTGAACATGGTCACCCCCTAGGACTAGCAGGATGTGGGGGTTAGTGCTGCGCCAGTTGTGGGCCAAATGCCAGGGATACAGCATATGGAGAAAAGAACCCAGTGCCAGCTTCCTGGCCCAGGGCCTGCCTCCTTTCTGCACATAAAACAGAGTAAGGAGGGAGGGGCAGTGCTACCTTGTGGGTCCTATCCCAGCAGTAGAACAAGGTGGAAGGAAACTCTTTAGGGAGCCTGAGTGCATGCCCTGCCTCTGATGGTTCACACTGACGTGGGCATCTCAGGGTCATGTCAGCATATGCTTTCTTCTTGCCTGCTGTGACTAATCAGGGTCAGTGTCTTAGAGCCACACAGCACCCCAAGACTACTCAGTAACATGCATTCTGGCTGGCAGGGCACTGCATCTGGCCCTTGCTGTGCCAGAGAAAACAGACCCTGGGATAGGTGGGGCAGCTGCTGAGCCATCTAGTGCCAACTCCATGTGCCCAGGCTGTCCAGAACTGACTACTTCTCTGAAGGCTGGGAGGAACTGGTGCTCACCATGTCCCCTGGAGAGCACACAGGGAATGGACATGGCACTGCCCTCAGAGAAACTCGGGTCTCTACCTGCCTATTTTCTTTTTTACCACCTATTAGCCAGGAGAGGGAAACAATGACTTTCTCTTACAGAGGCTGAAAAAGGGGGCTCAGCAAGTTCTTCCTTATTCACTCAAGGGTGCACAGAGCCAGAGAGAGGACAGAGTTGAGACATCTTGAGACCAAAGCAAGAGAACATTTCAGAGCCAACCAGATCAACTCAATGCTGCAATTGACGCTCCTTCCGAGGACACTGGTCCAAATACGCTACTACACATCACTGACTAGCCCATCTAGTGGGCACCTGGCTCACAGCTCCCTCCTCAGTGACAGCAGCTCTGAATAAATGTGAGATGCAATCTTGCAGCCTGCAATGTCGAGGATTAGGTGTCAGGGAATCCTCTAGAAAGCTAAATTCCCTTTCTTTATTAAAATAATTTCATTAGCTGAAACTAAAGGGTAAAAAAAAAGGAAAATGAGGAGAGGAGAATGAGGAACCTAATCTGGCCCTCTACCTTCCAATTGCAACCCAGAATGTGCACAAAGGACACCACTCCCACTGTGGATGGTCTTCTCTGCCCCTGTATCTAAGGTCAGAGAGAGACAGGAAGGATGTCTCTGGGGCTGTGTGGGAGCACATTGTGTGACTCCAGCCATAGAAACCTCTTACGCTCAGGCATAAAATAGGCTGCTTCAGTGACAGAAGGGGCCTGGGATAGGAGAAGAGACTGTTTTCTGACCTTCACTAGACTCCTCCTCGTCATAATCCTCCTCTTCCTCCTCCTCGTCATAGTCCTCCTCATCATCATTCTCAGGCTCACAGCTCTTCAAGGCATCCAGTTCCTCTTCACTCTTTCCTTTTAGAAGAGCATGGATCCTTACGGCTTCCTTCCAAGGGACGCCACCCAGGTCCGAGGTGGGCAGGGGAGGCTCCTCCTCATCCTCCTCCATCTCAGACTCAGAACTGCTGTGGAGAAACCACCACACAACCAAAGTGAGGGAATGACAAAACCATGAAGGAGAGGGTTAAAAGCCACAATCTGAAGCAAAGTGTCCCCACAAAGCACTGCTGTGGGGGAAGGGAGAGGATACCCTTGGAGGGACCAGCCTGCTTTCCTGCCAGGTAGGACACAAGGAGACGGGAGGAGAGTGAACAGAGGGCAAAATGGCATACACATGTGCGTGCAGGCCCCCTGATATAACCTATGCAAGTGAACGGCCTAGTCTGGTGAGCGATCTGTTTAGAGTACAGTCTCACTGAGGCCCTCAGAGGCTGTAGGCCGTGGACGCATTTTGATGTAAACTGACGACGGCAGGAATCAAGAATAGAGAGTAAGTCTCCTCTCATTGTGATCCACTATTTGGTTCTAGGAACTCAATTCCACTTGACTCGGGTGGGTCAGAAGGAAGGCTCTCATGAGGGCCAGGGTGAGGAAGGAGGCACAGCCATGAGAGGCATGAATGAAGTCTTAACCACACACTGGTTGGCAGTCAAGATGTGGGTTCTAGAGGGAAGGTAGCACACTCAGTTTCACCATATTCCTTGAGTCCCCTCCATGTGCCCTGACTTGAGCTGGACACTGCGGGGAACAGACAGGTAACGTGGCAGCAAAGTCCCCATTCACTGCATGGGACAGTGTAGGGACTGTAGGGACAGGTTGGAAACACCTCAACCCCTGGGTCATCACTCTTGACAAGCAGCTGTATTCCCACCACCGTTCCCTTCACTGCACAGCCTGGCTCAGTTTCAAACGGCAGCAGACAGCCTGTGATAAACACTCGCCATGACTTATGCAAGCCCCAAATGTGGATCTCCACCCTCTAGGCACCACCCTTCTCCCTGCTTCAGAGAGAAGCAGGACAACAGGCAGTGCCTGAATAAAAACACTTGGTACCCTACAACATTGTGGGGCTCCATGGCAGGAAGAAAATCCCAAATGTTACTGCACAAGCAGAGCAGTTTCTCAGACCTGTTTCACGGTCTGATAATTGCCAGTCTTCTTCAGGAGATTCTTTTCCCTTAGTGAGAAATGTGTAGCTGACTGGACTGGAGGAAATGGGCTTTCACAATAAAGCATGGTTCAACCTCTGGCATGATGGAGCCTCACAGGCCAGGAACATCAGGCATGGGTGGGTGGCTGGCCCGACCTCCTGTGATAGTGGGGTAACTCTCCCCTCACCTAGAGCGGGGTCGTGTGAGAGTGAGCCAGTTAGTACACTGTGATGAGGACATGCCACCCACCATCAGTGCTATCAGTGCCTGTGGAGTAAAGAACTTAACCTGTTCAAAGAGAGGCCTGGCCCCTGTTCTTGGTTGTGGGAGGTGAACTTAGCATTGGAATGCCCTGCCTGGTGGGAGTGCCTGCCTGTTTTGCTGGGGACCTTGGGTCATGGTAGAAAGTCTAATAATGTGATTCAGGGTGAGGACTAGCTGTATCAGAAAGACCAACAATTTAGGGTGAGTACTTTGGGTCATTCAGTGGACCTGAAGAGCAACCACAACCACATGGGCAATTGATCAATCAATCAATCAATCAATCAATCAATCAGTGCTTAGACATCAAGTCCCAATATAAACTCTAAATGGCAAGGCTTGGTGAGCCATGCTCCATGGGTATCACACATCAATACCAAGAAAGTAACACTGTCCTGCCTGTATGGGGAGAGTGCACTGGAAGCTCTCTGCACCTGTACTTTCCTGGACTCTGCCCTGTGCTTGTCTTGCCTTGGCTGATTACAACTGGTGTCCTTTCCCAGTAATTAAACCATAATCATGAATATAATACTTCTCAGTGATTCTGTGAGTCCTTCTAGCAAATCATTGAATCTGAGGGTAGTTTGGGGAACTCCCACATGCCAGCTGGGTGGGTCAGAAGTGAGGGCAGTCCTATGGACTGCATTCCCTTGACTTCTCAGGTGGCTGGGTCCTTACAGGGCCATGGTGGCTCTGCTAATTACCAGCTGTGTGACCTTCAGCTGATTATGCTCTCTAAGCCTCAGTGTTTTCATTGGTAAGGTAACAGTGTTAGTACCTGCCTTGTAGGCACGTTGTGAAGATAGGGACTTTATTGACTTTTATTGTGCTTGTGTTACACTCTGGGACTCTAGTCATTCATTTAGTTGGTTATTCATTACACATTTATTTATTCAACAAACATTTCTGAGCACCTACGAAAGCTCAGCCAGTGGACACAAATAAAAAGAGCCAACTTCTTACTGTAGGCAGCTCAGTTTGGTGAATCCTACTTCATTTATTCATCCACCCATCCACTCACCCAACTAAAATTTACTGAATGTCTTCTACTTATAATGCACTTCCTAGACATTGTAGGAAACACAAAGGTGACACAGAAAAGATCCTTATTCTCAAGTGGAGACAAGATGGAAATGCAACATGATAAAATAAGGCAAAACATAACTGTAGTGGGATGGAGGGTTGGTGGGAGGCAGTTTAAAGTGGGCAAATATAAATTTGGACCACAGACAGAAAATTTGGCATCTGGATTTTGATTATTTTTCAGCATTTACTTAGGTCTTATTTTTGTCTTACCTTTATGTTTTCACTTGTTTACTTTCTTATTAATAAACAACGTGTAACCCGATGTATGTCATTCAACATCTTTAGAACATGAAGTAAGGATAAGAATGCTTTCTAAGCTCATCTTAAGTCTTAGGTGGGCAGAGGGAGGGCCGCCTTGGCCTTCTCATTCAGCTGCGTGGTTGCCTAGTGGCAGCAGGCAGGATGAGATGCACTGTGGCTTCCCGGGAGGGGTCTTAGTGCAGCCCGGCCCTCATGCTTATGAGGAAGGCTACACTGTACATAAAGTGAGCAGTGAGGTCCCCCTTACAGCCGTGAGTGCCACAGTGGCTAGTTTTATGACAGCTCAAGGACCATGGGAGAATAGCAAGTGAGGAACAGAGCACAAAAATAGGATGGAAAGGTCAACCCTCTCCTCTCTTCATAAGCTGCAAGCTCTCAGGCAGTTCCTGAGAGGACTTTCCTATATGGAAATTGAGACAGGCAAATCGGCCTCCCACCCTTTGTGAAGGAAGGACATTGCCAAGTGTTCCTTTCCTGGCCGTCATTTCCATGGGACCTTGGAGCAATTCTCTGGGTCTGACCAGGCTCCTTATGTCACGCAAGATTTCCATGTAAATTTAGTACCTCAAGGCTTATTTTACATTCTTGCCTGCTCCCAGTGCCTGAATTTCTGGATCTGGCCTTTGAAGAGGCTAGAGGAAGGAATCTGTAGGACACCCCCGCCCTCCTTGGACTACAGCCTGAAAACTTTAAGTGGGGAGAATCACTACACCAGAGCAAAGCGTAATATAGACAACCAACTCCTCTGTCCTTTAGAAAGGACAAGTGTCCCCTTTGGACACAGTCTTCTAGGAGAAACAAAGGCCAGAAAGTTGAGTCATCAAGATCAGCTCCTGTCATAGCAGATATCTGTCATTTGTAACAATATATTGTTCCATGTAACTGTTTGATCTAGGTTGGCCTCACCTGGACCACCACACAGCAAAGATGGGCAAGGATGTATAAGGGACTATACCACAGGAAGCCAGGCCACGGTGCACCTAAGTTCTCAGGGGTCATAGGGTACCTCTGGAGCATCTTGGTAAAGCATCCATGAGAAGGAGCTGCTCCTTTTGGTTAAAATAATATCTAGCAAAAATCCTCCATGCTACAATTTACACCTGCTCACTCATCTCAAAGCACCTTCCCCGAATCTCCTCTCAGGTGTGTTGTCCTCTCACTGAGGCCATGATTGGGTCTGGTGGGAAGAAGCAAAACAGGTGGGCACACAGACTAGATGAAGTTTGCTCCAGACTTAAAAGAGCTACACAGAGGTTCTGCTGTGTTAGGAGGGCAGATCCCAGGACAATAACAACAGTGATGGCCAGTACTCATTGTGGACATGAAATAGCTCACATAACTACAATGACTCTAACACATGGCTACTATAATTATCTCCATTTTTACAAATGAGGAAACTGAAGTGTAAAGAGGCTGGGTCATTTGTATGAGAAATCAGGGTTCCCCTCAGCTTTCATACCACCTCATGCTGTGCTCTCTTGGGTGGTTCTCCAAGAGCCCAAAAGTTCTTTAGCCACTAGCAGCTGTTAGGGTGGCAAACCAGGAGGAGGAGCAGCAGCAGGTCCTGGCTGCCTGGGTCAAACCTCAGAAAGTGGAGACCAGGGATTCAGGCAGGCCCTGCTATGAATAAGGCAGGCTATTGCATGGAATTCCACTTGAAGTTCTTGGGTGGTTTTCAAGGGAAAATGGGGAATCATGGCTTTCACTTTTAAATTAATGCACTTATAATTAGCAAGTCTCTGTGCAATCTTCTGTCCCAGCTGGCCACTTGTAGATCCCACCCACTCTGACAACCATGTAAACACTCTACTGCTGAGCAGACTGCTGGGGATACATGTCATCCAGCAATCTTTTACATGGTGGAAATGTAACCCATGCTAAAACTGGCATCCTGCTCAGCAATGATTCACATTACTGCTTCTGCTGGAGGAAGGGTGAGGCAGAAGAGAGAGGAACAGTCAGGAATTTCCACTTATTTACAATCAGCCTTGAAGGAGAGGCTTTTCCTGGTGGTGTTTCTCTGATGGAGGGCAAGGCCCCTCTGTGCTGGCCTGTCAGAAATCTGGGGCACAAGAGGGGACAACCTTGACTGTCCCATTTGTAGCTGTCTGTTCCAGCTCTTACCGACTTGTTCTTACGACCCAGGAATATGTAAACAATGAAGGACTTCAGCAGATGGGCACTGTACAAGCCATCTTCATTGCTTGGAGCAAAATCTGCCAGATAGGCTACCAGGGAAAAACAAAACTAAAATCATAAAGCCAGTTCTCTTGTCTTTGGGCATCTGGTCTCTCCCAGAGAAAATAAAAGTACTATTTCCAGGGTCTCTTTGGGAAGATGCTCCCCTCCTCTACTCCAAAGAAAGATCATAAGCTGATCAGGCCTGAGCCAGAGTCTCCGATTTTGTGAGCTAACCCATGAAGCCAATGGTAAGAATCACCCAATGTCTGTTAAAAACAGGTATTCCTGGCCTCCACCCCAAATCCACTGAATCAGATACTCCAGGGGAGGACCCAGGAATCATCTTTTTACCAAGTGTCCCATGTGGGTTTTCATCAGGGAAATCTGGGAAATTTTGAGTGGTGGACCTCAAAGTATGGTCTCTAGACCACAGCATCACTAGAACCTTTTAGAAATACAAATCTTAGGTTCTACTCAGACTGACTGAATCAGAAACTGCCCAGCAAAGCATGCTCTAACAAGTCCTTGGGGCAATTCTGATGCAGGCAAAGTTTGGTGAGGACTTCCCTATGGCAAGTGGTTTTGAGCCAAACCCAATTTCTGGCAGTTAAACTACCTGCTTAAGAAAATCAATGGAAGAAGCGCGGCCTGTCCCTCCTGGTGAGGGGCACCTGCATTGTGCTTGGAGCTAAGGAGAGCAGTAACAGTAACTGCTGGCAGTGAGTCAGTGTTCACTTGGTGCCAGACACTGTCAGTTGTTTTATTTGATGTAATCCTCATAACAAACCCAGGAAGTGCAGTGTGCTTTGGGTGAGAAAACAGGCACAGAGAGGTTAGGTAACTTGCCTACAACTAGTAGGGGTGGAGTAAGGCTTTAGTTCTGATTTGACTCCAAAGTCATTCTGAAAAATCACAATGCACTGGCCTCTCACAGTAGACACCTAAGGTTCTTCACACTTGTCAAAAGTGTTTCTGGCCCTGGCTGGTGTTCTCAGTGGTTAGAGCATCAGCCCATGCACTGAAGGGTTGTGGGTTTGATTCCCAGTCAAGGGCATGTACCTGGGTTACAGGTTCTATCCCCAGTCCTGGTTAGGTGTGTGTAGGAGGCAACTCATTGATGTGTCTCTCTTACCTTTCCCCATTCCTCTAAAAAAATCAATGGAAAAAAATGTCCTCAGGTGAGGATTAACAACAACAAAAAAAGTGAGTTTCTGGGTTGGACTGGTTAATTCCTTAACACTCTTGTCATTTCTCCTTTTCAAGTTTAACCCCTCATCAAGGAAGGACTGAAGGCTGAAAATGCACCTAACTCTACTTGGTGCTGTAGGGAAGATGGAAAAAATACATGACACACTCCCTGCACCTCACAGCTTCCCTGCAGGAAACCACACCAAGTCTCTAGCTCCTTCCTCCGAGCACTTCACCTTTAAGAGATCGTTTTTTATTCTGTATAGCAGCTAATGCTAGTTGTTTCTTCTTTTATTTTATTTTTTAACTTGAATTTAAGATAAGGGCATTAATTGTACTGCTTGCTGCTAACTGATCTCATATTCTTCCATTCTACCCATCCGATCACATCCTGCTGTAGGTGCATGACTTAGCCTTCCTGAAATGCCCTTCTTACTTCGTCTCAACTTGCTGCCCCATTATTTTCCAGTTTATAAATTACAGTGGAGGACAAGTTATTCCTGCAGGAAAGTGGTGTGGCCCACACCCTGAGGCCATGCCATCAGCTCTGCTTTGACTGCAAGAAAGGACTCTCCCTCATGAATACAGCAGGGAGTGGTGTGTCTCTATGGGCAGAGATGCAGTGTTACGTGACAACAACGTGCATGTAGTGATGGCTGCGGAAATGCAAGCATTGCTCTGAAATGCAAGGAAGAGCTGTTGATGAGGCCAGCGCAGAAGGCAGTTCATCTAGAGCGAGTCTGACACCAGGGCTGAGGTGCTGAAGTTCAGCTGAAAGGAGCTCTGCCAGCAAACAGCTTCGGAAAAACATTCTTAGAACTTAAAAACACACACACAAAAAGCTGTTTTCTTTATCCCCACACGTTCCCTTTCTCATGGCTACAAAGAAGTGTCCAGTGCGTGATGCAAATGCTCTCATGCCAACCCAAAGCCTCCACCAGTCTGGAGCCATGGGAAGCAGCTCTGTGGCAGCTCTGCAGGACAGTCTTGCCAATACAGATTTTATTCCATCTTTTAAAATTTTTTTTATCTCATTCTCTTTTTTGTTTGCATTCTTTTTTTAATGTTTGTTTCTCTTTTATTTTGTTTCTCTATCTCCTTGATAACCTTATTGAGCACTTTGAATCCTTCTGTACAGACACTGGCAGGCCTGGGCAGGTAATGAGAATCAAGCCCTCAGGTAAAGACAGCAGACCCCGGGTGTGGTGTGGGTTGGAGCACGTGTGTCTCCCAAAGGCATTACTCAGTCAAACATAATTAAAACACTGGGACTGGCCAAGAATAAAACCACTGGCTGCTGTGTGGCCCCTGGGAAACAAATATTCTGCTCCTTTCTTTACACACAGAGGTGAGGTAGCTTTCCCAAAATAGCACAGTGAGATGGTGGCTAAGTTATAAAGGGGGACCCTTGTTCCAACCCGGGTGCTCCTTCCACTGAACTACCAGCTCCCAATAGCACACTGTTTCAGGTCTACTGTTGTTCCTGTGTGGAAATCTTTTCCCTCCATTATATTTATAAACAATAACCTGAGGGCAGCACCTGTGTCTGTCGTTTTTCCCCCCTGTTAACTTTTCATTGAATAGCAAAGTGTTAAGATGATAGTAGGTGTTTAATAAATACTTACTGAATCTCTGAATTAAGTCATATGAATAGTGATCTTTACTGGCTAACAAGATGAAGAGATAAGGACCTAAATGAAATAGGGAAGGAGGAATCACCAGGCAGCAGGGAAAAAAGGAAGAATCCTGGACCCAGAAAACGTGAGTTTGAATCTTAGTCAATCCTTAATCCTTGTTTCAGTCACCATTAGATCTTTATGTGTATGGTGATGAGATATATGTTCTTGTCTACATTACAGGACTCCTGAGAGCATGACCAAGTGAGGTGATGAAGACGGTAGTCCTTTGTAAATGGTCCCGTGTCATGCAAAGTAATAAAGACAGTCACCACCTATAAGTGCTTACATGTGCCTGAGCACACTCAGACCTCGAAGAGATATTGTGGGTTCAGTTCCAGGCGACTGCAATTAAAGTGAGTACCGCAATAAAGTGAGTCCTAATCTTTGTGTTGGTGGAAGGCCTTGTCTTCAATTTGTGAAAAATGCAACATATGTGAAGCACAATAAAGCAAAGTACAATAAAATGAGGTGTGCCTATACTGTTTTAAACACTTCATACATATTTAAATCTCACACCAATTCTGTAAGGAAGGTGCTAGCATTGCCCTTGTTTCACAGATGAGGAAACAGGCATACAGAGGTGACATAACTTGTCTAGTGTCACACAGCTGGTAGGTGACACAGATGAGATTCAAACCCAGGCAGTTTGGCTCAGATCCCATGCTGTTACAAGGTGTTATGATGCCTTCCCATAGGGCATCATAGCACCTGTTAACAGCATGTAGGGCCGCATGTTTATCTGGGGAAAGCCACAGGCACACGCAGCACACAGGAAAACGGGGCCTCAGCTCCCAGCACAGGCTGACCTGCTGGCCACGTCCTCCTCCGGGCCCTTGTCCAGCACACTGCTCAGGTTGTGCTCAGCCTGTGTCTCCTCAGGCACCTCCTGCAGCTCCTCTGCCTGCTTCACAGATAGGCGGTAGTTCTCTAGCTCAATCCTCTCAGGGGTGCCCCTCAGTCTCTTGGCAATGCTGGGCTCCTCCAGGCCATTCACACTCGAACCTGAAAGACAAGCAAAGAAACAAAGTTCTATGACAAACTATGGGAACTGAATCCATGCTGTGTGGAAGATGGAGGAGGTGTGGGGGGAGGCACCAATGGAAGAATATCTAAGCACTCAGGGCAGCTGCTGCTCATATCAGTGAAAGGAGGCACAGCCCCCAGACCCATGAAGGCCACAGAGCCAGAAGAGGGGGGACAGAAAGTCAACAAGGTCACAGATTTGATGAAGGCTAGGTGAGGGCCCTGGTGTGAGAGTGGCATAACTTCACTAAATATAAGAAGCAACAAGACTGCACATCAGCCCCTTCAGGGGAGGGCGACTCACTCTCCTGTATCATCTTTGATAGGGGTGATGGAGACTTGGGATGAATCTTAAGGAAGTTCTTGTCATTGGAACTTAGCTCCTCTAAAGCAGCTTTCCCTGAAAAGGTTGGGTCCATCCAGTAGCCCCACCCTTGATCCGGGATCTAATCAAAGTTCCTGCACTGCATCTGGCTGTTTTGCTAAACTTCTCCCACTGTGGATTTGTTTGTCTCCTCACGATTAGATTCACAGTAAACACTTGTTGAAAAAGAATACCGATTAACCTCTTGTGCCACTGGAGGAATAGTGGCGAGAGATCTTGAAATCCTCCCCTCCGAAATTTCAAAAAATTAACCAACAAAGAATTCCCTATTCAATACAGAGGCACACCTGAGAGAACCACTCACTGAAACATCTAAAGGTGGGCAACTGGGAATAAACAGGGATACGAGAAGGTGGGAGAGCTCAGATGGCCCTCAGATGCAGCCCTGTAGCTGGGAGCTCGCAGCATGGCCGGGAGAGGGGAGGAAGCTGGCGGTAGCAGGTGCTTCCTTTGGTGGGAGGAACAGAGAGC